AGACTAAATACGTGACTTGCAGTCAGTGCTGTTGGCAGAGACAAGCCCTCCTCCCTCCTGGAAAAAGCACAAATAACTGTAATTTCACAAAATTTCTGACAGTGAGCCCTCATTTTTTAAACAGCCCTGGCTGTCAGGAGGAGCTGATGCTTTGGAAGAGGACGGCTGGTGCTTGTAAAGTGGAGTAAGGGAACAGTGTGTACCTGCTGCTCTCTACCTGACAGCAGGATTGCATTTTGATGGCCCTCCGTGGCTTCAGAGTCAAGGTCCAGACCTTTGGAATTGCTCTGGCCTGCATTGCAGACCTGGGTGAGTGAGGAGCCTTCCTTCTGTTTCCTGTGGGATAGCTCTAGTCTTACCAAAAGCCACTGGGACTTTGTCTCCTACATCCTCAGATAATGCAGGGAAACAGATTCACGAGCCACATGAAAACCATGGAGGGCAGACTCTGCTGGAATAGGAACAAGGGAAGTCTTTCTGTGTCCATCTGCCTGATCAGTGGCTGGTGCTTTTCATAACTGCCTGTCTTTTTTCCCCCCTTCTCTTTATTCAGAGGAGATTGTGAATATGTTTTACATCTGCTCTTGGGCACCTGGGTTAACACCAGCTTGCAGAGCCTGGAGGTGGCCTGGATGTGGAAGCAGGCACAGTTCTGGGATGGACTCATGTTCTGCTCCCACCACACTGCTCGTGCTCAGCCAGGCTGGGATGAAAGCAGCACTGCACTGGGAGTGCATCTCCTTCCAGGTTGGGAGCCCAGCATGTGCTTCTGAAGACAGGCTCTCGCTTGGCTGTCTTGCTATTTTTCCCTTCTATTTATGAACAGATGAGGGGAGAAAAAGGCACAGATGACAATATTTTGCCTTCTTTTACTGCTGGAAGCAAGGCTGAGCAGCTTTGTTTTAGCAGCCGTGCCTCTGCAGGCTCCTGGCAGGTTGGCCATGGGCTGCAGTCTGTGATGGTTGTCCTGGGGAGTGTGAGGGATGTGACTCTACAGGATGGGGGGAGGGAAAGCTCCTCCTTCCCTTTCCTTCATATTTAGATTTGGAAAGTCTCCTCAGTAACAGGACAGAGCCCCTTGGTAGGATGAGGGGGAGTGGCTTTGAGCTGAAAGAGAGGAGGTTTAGATTAAATATTGGGAAGATGTTGGCTATGAGAGTGGGGAGGCCCTGGCACAGGTTTGCCCAGAGAAGCTGTGGCTGCCCCATCCCTGGAAGTGTCCAAGGCCAGGTAGGAGGAACCTGGGCTAGTGGAAGGTGTCCCTGCCCATGGCAGGGGGGTGGAACAACATGGTCTTTAAGTTCCCTTGCAACCCAAACCATTTTAGGATTCTCTGATTCTAATCCTTGCCCTCATCCTGCTCCCAGGCATTGTCTCCAGGACAGCCTGCTAAGCTGAGATCCCCATAGGGAGACAAAGGTGTAGAATGCTCAGGAACCCAGGGCTCAGCAGCTCTCCCAGCTCATCTTGTCCCATTTCGAAATGGGTTTAAATTCAGCTTCCAAGCTCCCACCTCATGGACACCAGGGAGAGGACACCCCACCCTTGGGTGAGCAGCGGGCTGGGCAGTGGTGCTTGTGTTTCACCACACCCATATCCTAAAACACCACCACCCCCCCCCCCCCCCCGAGTCCTAAAACCCCCTTTTGATTCCGAGCAAGCAGCATCTTCCCTCCTGCCCAGTGAGATGCGGCCAAATTGCAAATGTCCAAGCCTGCCAGGGTTTCACTGTGCATCCAGCAGCCCAGAGTAGTTGGTTTTTTCTTCTTTCCACCTTAGGGGTTTAGACTGCACAGCAAGTCCAGTAATGAACTGTTACTCTGGAAAATAAGACTTTCATTAGGTTAGGATTCAGCCAGGGTGTCTGCGTCCCTCTATAATGAACCGTGATATTGTGCAAAGCCCCGGCGTGGAGCTGAACCCTGCTTATCTCAGTGCCATCATTTTCCCACTTAGCACCAGCACAGCCCCTCACTCCATCCAGTCCCACAGCCAGGGCAAGGGAGGGAGACTGTAATAAGGTTTCCTCCTCACTGAGCAGCTTTTTGGGGGTCAAACAGTGCTTTTAAGTGTTGGGTGTGACTCTTGTCTTCTATAAACAAACGCTGATTTTTTTTATCCTTTTTTTTTTTTTTTAAGTGTTCATTATTCATCACCAGCAGGTCCTGAAATTGCAATGCCTATCTCTTCTGCTGTGAAAACATTAATAACTGCTTTGGCTAAGCCCCGAAAGATCATTTATTTTACAAATGTGCAGAAAATTCAGGCCGGCTGGGATTAAAAGCCCAGCATTTCTTTGTAGGCGAGGCTTTCAGGGCACATTTTACCAGGAGCAAGAATGAGTTTTACACAGATCTACATTTCCAGGTGTGGACAGGCTGCTCACCCACCAGCACAACTTTAAGTCAGGGGCTGGTAGAGAGCAACAACCAGTAAAACTGAGCCCAAGGAAGGCACGAACATGGGAATCCGGAGCTATTTGTGCTCCGTGTTAAGGGGCTTGATCGGCTTGATCCAGGTTTTATTCCTGCATCCCCCCTTCTCCTGTGCATGGGATGCTGGGGCAGGGGGGATCCTGTGCCTTCCACACGTGGCTGGGGGGGCTCAGCATTGTGGGTCTGCCTCCCCATCCCTCCCCCAGCCCTGGGATGCTCCCGATGCTCCTCACCTCCATCAAGGACGAGGAGCAAGGAAATCCCAGCAGCCTCTTAAGAAATATTTTAATTAAAACCCTGACATAACGAGGGCTTTAAAGGACATGAAAGACAACAGCTGTGGAGCTGCTCTCTGCCCCCCTCCTTCTCCTCCCCCCTCTCTGCAGTGTTCTTAGAGCAATTTTCATTGACAGCTTTTTGGGTTCCCTGTTCTTTGCTCTCCGGGGTGGTTTTCAGCTCAGGCTGTGCTGTTGTTGGGCTGGGAGCAGCACACAGCCCTCCCCTCCACCAGCCCCTCCTGGGGGAACAAGGGGACAACCTGCCTTCCCCACCCCCAGGGCAGGTGATGCTGCAGAGCCCATGGCCAGGTGGGAACTGGGGGCATCCAGGAGGTAGAGGAGGATCTTCGCAGTCTGGGCTAGCTTGGAGGAGCTTGGGGCAGTTGGTGTCAGGGGGCTGTCTTGGTGTCCAGCTGGAGATGTGACACCACCGGTTCTGCAGGGCAGGGACTCTCCTTTGGATGTGGCCAACCACCACAACTGAGCTCAGGATTGTCTCAGGTTGGCTGGTCCACCCAAGCTTGGGCCAGTTGCTGGTGTACCTAAGCCTGTGCTTGCTGGACAACTGCCCAGCCTGGCAGTGCTGGCACAACAGTGACCAAACCAGCGGGGCTGCCAACAGGGACTTTTCTTTATCCTATTTAGATGGAATATTGGGAAGAAATCCTTCCCTGTGAGGGCAGCAAGGCCCTGGCACAGGTTGCCCAGAGAAGCTGTGGCTGCCCCTGGATCCCTGGAACTGTCCAAGGCCAGGTTGGACAGGGCTTGGAGCAACCTGGGCTAGTGGAAGGTGTCCCTGCCTGTGGCAGGCAGTGGAATGAGATGATTTTTAAGGTCCCTTCTAAACCAAACCATCCTGGGATTCTATGATTTTATTTAAAATATATTTCAGGAGACCAGCACTGACATTGTTAGTCCAGAGCTAAGAATGTCCAACCACTTCCTCTTTCTGGGGGTTCAACACACCTGCAGATATCCCCAAGACCACAGAGTTGGGCTGGACCAGCCATTCCAGAGCTGTTTCCAAACTCCATTGCTAACACTAATACATGATTTAGGGAAAACATGATGTGGCATTAGTGATTAAAGTGGATATTTGGATTTGATTTAGGAAATCTGATGAGAAGGAGGAGCCCTTCGATCCCCTTGAAGAGGGTAAGACGATGCCACGGCTTTTCTTTGATCTGCTTCCCTCCTGCCCACCCCACATGTCATCTCAGGCCTAAAATCAGCAATCCAGCCAATCCAGTGGGTGCAGGAGCAGGGCCAAACTCTTCCCATTGAGATTCCTCGTGCTTTGCATCTGCAAATGGAAAGAATTCACCGGTTCAGGGCTTCCAATTAGAGCTGGGCAAATGAGAAACTTCTCAGCTCACTGCCCAATCCTGCACCAAAAAATGCAAATAAGGAATGGTTTGGATCAATGCAAAGTACAGACCCTTTGATATTTTTTTTCTTCCTCCCAAAATAAACCCTTCTCCTTCCCACCCTGATTAATTTTAGATCACATGAAATGTTTTATTCAATTGCAGCCCGAAATGTCATTTCAGAATATTAGCTGGAATAATATTCCTTTTGCAAAAAAGTTTAACTTTGAAAACTTTTTCATTCTGGTCTCACAAATGGAGGAACAAATTTGTTTTCTGATTAAAAAAAAAAAAAAAGAAATAAATATGAGTTTTGTGAATTTTTTGGTGGGATTTTAAGCCCCTGGAGAAAGGATGTGACCAAGCCCTGGGGGGGCTGATCTTGCTGGAACCACCAAGCACAGGTTGGCCAAAAGCATCTTCATGCCTCAAGAGCTTCCTCCTACTTTCTCCTACTCTGCTGCCTGCTCTTTAATCAACTATTTAAACCCCAGCTTGGAGACTTTTCATCCATTTCCAAATCCCTAAGTCTTGGAAAAAAATAAAATAGACATGGAGAAAACAGCACATGGGAGGGCAGCGAGTGTTCTCAGCCTGCCCAGGGGGGTGGGGTGTGATGCCCCCGGGGTGGGGGGAAGGGGGAGGTTTGGAGGAATGGGCAATAAATTGATTTTCATGGCTTCTGAGGCCACTGTGCGGTTTGCAGCGTGGCTGCGCCGAGCCTTGCAGGTGGATCTGGAGGCAGAGCTCCAAGGGGATTAGTCAAGATTTATTTTTCTTTTTTTCTGGAGTGAGATGAAAGGGGGGGAAGGGGAGGGGGAGATGAGCAAGGAGTCCTGTGGAAAGGAACTCATTATTTTTTATCTTTTCCAATGACCTTGTTTGTTTTAGTCCTGCTTGAAAGCGGTTCCTTTCCTTGTGGAAATTTGGAGAGATCTGGAGGCTGGGGCTGGTGAGAAAGGGGGAAAGGGGGAAAAGGGAGGTGGGTGAAGAAACACGGAAAATAAACAGAATAAATGTAAATGTAAACCGAGGTGGAAAAAATTCACCAAGGAGAAATACCCCTCTGGGCTTGGTGTGTGATGAAACAGCTCATCTGGGGAGGGTGGCTGGTCTGAGGGTGTGTTGCCTTTTGCCTCCAAGGAGAGCTCAGGGTTGTGCACATGTGTGTGCAAGGTGGTGTGGCTGAGCCTGGTCCAGGATGGGCTGCTGCTTCCCATGGGAGAGCTGTGAGGAGGGAAGGGAATGCCCACAGTACCTTACAGGGGCATTCATTCCCTTATAGAATATCATGGAATGGTTTGGGTTGGAAGGCACCAGTTCCACTATCCCAGGTTGTTCCAAGGTCCATCCAACCTGGCCTTGGACACTTTCAGGGATCCAAGGACAAGCCACAGCTTCTCTAGACAACCTGTGCCAGGGCCTCACCACCCTCATGGGGAACCATTTCTTCCATATATTTAACCTAAATTTCCCCTCTTTCTGTTTGAACCCTTTATTCCCTTTCCTGTCACCCCAGTTCCTGATGAACAGTCCCTCTCCAGCTCCCCTTTGGGCCCTTCAGATCCTGGAAGGTGCTGTGAGGTCTCCACACAACCTTTTCTTCTCCAGGCTGAACAGGTATCTCCAGACCGTGTGGGGAGCAGAGGCATCTTCTGTGTGACTCCCCTGCTCCTCACCCTAATCCTGTCTGTGCATCTCCTAAAGAAATTACTTCAGAGACAATATGAGAAGGATTTAATTCGATTTTTCCCCCTCTTTTTATTCCAATGGGCCTTGATCCAGGCTGGGAAGCAGTGAAAGCATCATGGACACATGTGTGTATCCCTCCTCAGCTTCCATGGGCAGTTCAAAAGGTCACCACTTTATTCAGGGTTGGAATTTTTGCCTTAGAGAGCCCCATTAATTTAACCCTGAGGGGATTGTTTTACTGGTTTGTTTTTTTTTTTTTTTTCGTTCTCCCATTTTGTTCTGCACTGGGGGCACGTGGACTTTGGAAGAAGACACTGCATCTGCCATGGCACCATCCTGGAGCTGCAAGGGAACACCACAGAGCTTGGCAGTGACCCAAGGGCCACCTCTGCCCCAACTGATGCTGCCTTTGAGGGGTAAGAAAATCTCCCCAAACCCCCAACAGGTGCCCCATGGCCCTGATACCTCCCATGGTCCCTCTAACCTCCTTTACCATGTCCATGTCCAGCTAATCCTGTAGTTGCTCACCAGCCTCTTCCTGCACTTTAAACCAGTGGCATCCAACCTCCAGCTCCTCGTGTGAAAAAATAAACCCTAAGAAGCTCCCCAAAGGGCAAGGGCAGCTGTTCTCCTGGCACAAAGCCCTCTGACCAATGGGCAGGGTGGCTAATTTTAGCTCAAACCACTCCTCGCTTTCAACTGTCGGCTCGGGTTGATCTTCTTGTGGTCACTCATAAATACTTATGGAAATGCTTCAGGTGCTCCATTTGCACGGCTGGAAAGGCTCATATAGAATTCGAGGTGCCAGGATTTAATTGGGTGACCCGTGCTGGGCAGGAATTTTTGCCTCATTTGTGGAAATCGGAGTCCCTGTGAATGGAGACCAGGGAATGAAGTGGCCACAGAGTTGTCAGAGAAGCCTTGGAGAAGGAAGGGATGGGGGCCCAGCCCAATTACTGACTTGCAGTTTCTTAACAATATAGGTGTTAAAAAAGGGTAATTTAACTTAAAAACAACAACTGGGAGCTGCATTTAAACCACCAGAAGTCCCAGAGAAGCCTAATTAGGACCAGTAATGCTGAGGCCCTTGGGATGTAAGGCTCAGGTCTGCAAATTGGGAGACCCCGTTACCTTGAAATGATGGGATCCAGAGGGAGCTGGACAGGCTCCAGAATTCCCTTGGGAATCTCCTGAGGTTCAACAGGGCCAAGGGCTGGTGCTGCACCTGGGTCGGGGCATCCCTGCCATCAGTCCAGGCTGGGGATGAACAGATGGAGCAGCCCTGGGAGAAGGCCCTGCGGGTGCTGGTGGGACAGAGGCTGGACATGGCCCAGCCCAGAACCCCCCGTGCCCTGGGCTGATCCCCCAGCGTGGGCAGCAGGGCAGGGGGGGATTGTGCCCCTCTGCCCCCTCAGGGGAGACCCCCCTGCAGAGCTGCCTCCAGCCCTGGGGAACAGCACAGCAAGGACATGGAGCTGCTGGAGAGAGTCCAGAGGAGGCCCCAAGAGGATCAGAGGGATGGAGCAGCTCTGCTGGGAGGAAAGGCTGGAGAGTTGGGATTGATCAGCTGGGAGAGGAGAAGTTTTGAGTTGTCCTGATTGTGGCCTTGCAGGGCCTGAAGGAGCTACAAGAAAGATGGAGAGAGACTATTTCCAAGGACCTGGAGTGAGAGGACAAGGGAGAATGGTTTCCCACTGCCAGAGGGCAGGGTTAGATGGGATATCGGGAAGGAATTTTTGGCTGTGAGGGTGGTGAGGCCCTGGCACAGGTTACCCAGAGAAGCTGTGGCTGCCTCTGCATCCCTGGAAGTGTCTAAGGACATGTTGGACAGGGCTTGGAGCAACCTGGGCTAGTGGAAGGTGTCCCTGCCCGTGGCAGGGGGTGGAATGAGATGAGTTTTAAGGTCCCTTCCAAACCAAACCATTCTGGGGCTCTGTGATTCTGGCAGTAGCTCTTTACCCAGTGCAAACGCCAGCTAGCCAGGCCTGGGAAAGCTCCAGCTGAACTCCAGAGGCTTCAGGCTGGCTTTGATAAGGGTTGTATTCAGTGAGAAGTCTCCTCTAGATTTAGCCCTCAGACTTTAAAGGGAATAATTAAAAAAAAAATCCTTTTTTTAAATTTTTTTAAAATTTTTTTATTTTTAACCCACTGCTCTGAGTTGCATCTGAAGCCCAGTGAAGAGAAGAGGAGCAAGGAAAGGTTGTGTGATGGGGAGCAAAGGGAGAGAAGAGAAAAATGAGATGAAAAGGTCTTTGTAGTAACTGTGCTTCAACAAGAGACTTCCCAGCTGCTGACTGGGGTCCTGAGTGCATTCCATTGATCCACCCAGGCAGTTCCTGTTGATGGGAGTGTGTGTGGATAATCCCAACCCTTGCCCCAAACCCCAACAGAGAGAGGTTTTTAATCAGATTTAACCCTCATGTGGAAGAAAATACCTTTTTATTTCAAGGGGAAAAGAGCTGCCAAGAGGTTTTCCTGAGTTCTGCTGGAGACAGCCATTATCCCAAGGATTTTACCCTTCCCAAGGGCAGCTGAGGCAGGTTTAGGGTTAAACACCTTTCTATTTCAAGGGGAAAATGCTGCCAAGGGGTTTCTTCGAGTCCCTGGGTTCTGATGGATTAGGGTTAGGACCCTAAGGATGGACCCAGACATTACCCTGCAGTGTTTTGCCCTTCCCAAGGGCAGCTGAGGCAGTCAGGGCCCTGCCCATGGCCCCCCAGGTCCCTTCCCAGTGGGATCCCACCATCAGCATCCCATAGTGTCTTGGTGCTGGCGGTGAGGCCGTTACAAATAATTTATGCTCTGGGCAGAGCAGGGAGGAAGAGAGAGCGGAGCTTTTAATTAAAATGATATCTCACAGATCAAATAAATATGAATAAGATGCCAAAAACAACTGTATAAATCCCAAACACTCTCCTGTGTTTTAATTATTTGTGTTGATAAAACAAGAGCAGAGGCATTTGGCTATGCTCGGGGGGCGCTGGGGCAAAAGGTCACACTGGGATTTTTTTATGTTCTCTTCAAGGAACAAATGTTTCAGAAGCACAGATCTGACAAACTATAATTCATATCAGGGATTAAATTGGAAATTTAGGGAACAATTGTTAATATTTCAAAGTAATTGTTTAAGAAATTATCATTTTGGTATCTGCCGCGGAAAATAATTACATACCACTAATTTTTCTTTTTTTCTTTTTTTTTTTTTTTCCAAAGGCTGGAATAGTGTTGGAAAGATGAGGAGTTTTGCTGTGAGCTATTTATGTAGTTCAAATGAGGAGATAAATAGGAAGGGACTTTCATGTTCACAGGCAAATGAGCCTGACTAATGTACAACTCCCGGCTCCAAAGTGGGCCTTGGATTCATTTGAAAATTGAGGGGATTTTTTAATGGATGGGGCTTGCAAGTCACAGCAGGTGAGATAATAATCAAACCTGTGCATATTAATTAGAAAAGGGTCCTCAAATAAACCCTTCCAGCATGGAGAGCCCCTACCTGCCCTTGGCAGGATTTTGGGGTGGAAAAGGAGCTGTTTTAATGCACCAGTAGGCTGAGTCATCTCTGGTCTGCTGGAAAAGGGGGCTGAGAACTTGAATATTTAGAGGATCATGGAAAAAAAATAGTCTAGAAGGGATCTTAAACATCATCATCTGCATCCTACAGCTTGAGAATGGGGTTATCCAGACCCCAGAGCATCCTGCCCCTTCCCTCTGCTGTGCTGTGCTGGTGGAAGGCTCATCGTCCTCCCTCCCAATACGGTTTTCCTCAAGGGATGGGGAGAAACAGCACCAGGAAAGGTCCAGCAAGCAGCAGGTTGATTTGTCAGACAGGATATGGCAAAGGGAAACTGTTCCCATGAAGGCACCATTTCAAATGGAAAAGAAAAAATTATTTTCTGGGGCTGGTCAATTTTTTCGGCAAAATTGTTACTCCATCCTTGGTGGGAATGATTCCCAAGTGCCTCTGAACTGTCTCCTCAGTTGCCCTCTGGCTTCCCCAGCCACCAGCTGGGCCCCCAGTGAACCTCCTCAGTTGTCCTGTTGGCCACTGGGATGGTTTTGGCTGCCCCAGCACCCTGAAGGCCCCGTGCTGCCAATAAATCTGTGGGGCTGGAGTTGTTGATGGGTCTTCCGCTCCCTTCATGCTCTACTTTTGATCCCTTTGATCTCAGGGACTCCAGATCGCCATGAAAACACGGCTCTGGAGGCTAATGAGGGACACACTTGACCTTTGCAGATGTGGTGATTAAGGATGACTGGAGAGTGTGGGGGAAGTAAATGAACTCCTTTTGGCTCCAGACTGTTACAAGCACCAAAATTATGAATCACAGGGGCTGTGGGAAGGCATTTAGTGATCAGCTAATTAGCAGCAGGCACGCTAATTAAGGCAGCTTTGTGTTTGCCCGGGTCTTTGGGGCTGTCCTTCCTCTCCTGGGCTTGCTGGGATTTAGGGTCCCCTTGCTCTCCTGGGTTTGGGATCCTGTTGTGCTGGATATTCTGTGCTTTTTAAAGAGTTGCTGTGGTTTAGGAATTAATTACAAGTGAAGGACTAAACACAGGTAAAATAGTCCTGGTTTGTGTGGTCCTGCTGTACCTCCCAGAGGGACTAGGAAATGACTGTCCGTCTGGGGGTCGGCAGGAAAAAACAGAGAGGAAAATGTTCTCTTTCCCCATGGAAAAGGGAGGAAGGTGGATTTACACCCTCCTGCTCTTGCAAGGCACCGGGTAGGTCCATGGCAGCTCCTGCTAGAGCAGAGAGGTTGTGGCTGCCCCTGCATCCCTGGAATGTCCAAGGCCAGGTTGGACAGGGCTTGGAGCAACTTGGGCTAGTGGAAAGTGTCCCTGCCCATGGCAGGGGATGGAATGGGATGATCTTTAAGGTCCCTTCCAACCCAAACCATTCTGGGATATCATGATTCTAAGGGAGAGCTTGGAAAATGTGGGGAATGAACGGGCACTTTGCTCACCTGCTGTGGGAGGATCAGAGTTGACCTCTGAGGGACAGCACATGCCATCCTGGCTTTCAGCGGATGAGGGAACAGGGTTTGGAGCCCTTCCTTTGGGAACTCAATTTGTAGTGTAAATCTTGTCATAACAGACTTCTCTGCCAGGAACTTTTCCCCTATTATTAAGCCAAAACTTTCCTATTCTTAATTTCGTGATTGCTCTAAGCCCTGTCCAACCTGGTCTTGGAAAATTCCAGGGATGGAGCAGCCACAGCTTCTCTGGGCAAGCTCTTCCAGTGCCTCTTACCTTTGGAGTAAAGATTTCCCTCCTGATATCTCATCTGACTCAAGCGCACGCTGCTGCTCTTGCATTTGTGTAGAGGCATTAAAAAAAAATCTCCCTTTCGTGTTGTTTATCATCTCTAAATATCAGAGCTAACAACCCAGGTTTCCTTTACTCTTTCCAGTGTGCC